CGGTTCCCTCGCATGGTACACCTATTGAAATTGACCTCAGGTTTCCTTGTTCTTGAAGCGGGTGGTGAACGATTTCAGCACTGCCCCTGAAAGCATGCGCAAACCGCTGAACTACAAAGATGCACTTGCCAAGCATCAGATTTGTGGGTCTTACATCCACTTCATGCGTCAACTCCAATCCAAATGCCCTGAAAGCGACTGGGCTGATGTCAAGAAGGAGTTGGACACAAACTTTTTTCAGCAGTTCCTAGACACGGATTTGCAAGCGGCTATCGCGAACAGCGTGCCTCCTGGAGACCTCGCTGGCATTGGCGCTTTCCGGCTCCTTGGCAAAGCATCAAAGGCCGGAGGTGCAGTCAGGGCAAGACATGTAAGACACGGTCCCATTTCTTCGCCCCAGAAATTCGAAACAACCCTGCTATCCTTTCTTTGCAAGGCAATGGCTGGGGAAGTTTGACAAGGTGGGCAAGCTTGCCCAAGAGAAGCAGGAAGAAGAACTTGCAGCTGCCGTCCTCCAGGCAACCTTCAACCAGCTCATGGCCCAGCTGAACCATGACCTCGCAATCGTGGAGGCTCGCCTGGGCATGAGCAAGGACCGAGAAGCTGAAGAGACTGCCAAGGATGGTAAGTATCTCCGGGAGAGGCACATGCCCCTTGATGAAATTTCTGTAGTTTTCTTTTGCCATCCAGCTGGAGTTCTCCAAGGGTGAACTAGTCCAAAGCAATGCCTAGGCGAGGCCAACAATGGGTGAAGAAGTTCATGGAGGAGCGATGCTCTCTTTGCGAAGTTGAGGACACCATGAATGGCGCCATCAATGAGTTTACCAAGTTCTGTGCTCATCTCCAGCCATCGGCTGGGAAGAAGAAGCTTATCAGCAACACACGTTTTCCTTGCTTGAACACCCTTAACTGCAACATGAAAGACTCAAGGTTCGTGTTTGCCTCCCTGGATGCGACACTCTGGCCTGCCAACGCAACTTACCTTGCAAGCACAATTCAAGTTCTTTCTGGCATTGTCAACCTGAGCCTGGATTCCATTGCCCATGTCCAACTGCCACAGCTGCAGTCCAACACAACAGCGGCCGCGGTCATCAAACACAAGCGGCAGTTGGAGGACTCGTTGCTGAATGCCAAGCTGGATGTAACCAATGGGGTGCTGCTTCGCTTCAGCAAGCAGCAGTCTGCCACAAGTGACTCACGCAGAAGTTCCCAGGCATGCATTGCCGCAACATCCACCCATTACAAGACGAACAGCTGGTCTGAGAGTGAAGCCGTCAAGAACAGTGTCATTGGGCCGGTGCCATTGATCAAAACCGCGAACATGTTGGGTTACGACATGGAGGAGGGGTCTATGTCAGCAGGCCTCCGGGTAGAACAGACTCCTCTCCAAAGTAAGCTTATTTGTGCCTTGCTTTTTTTGAAACCCTCCAAAATTGTGACTTGACAGTTTGACTTGACTGTGATTTAAGGGCAACCAGCCACTGTCAGGAAAGGGGTGCCTGCACACATCGACATCTTGAAGGCTTACCTCAAGGGGACCGATCGCGCTAGTGCGGACCATGTCATCGTTGTGGACATCCTGCCGAATCGGCATTTGGAGTTTGGCAGGGCAGCCCTTGCAATGATGTTGGACAGCTGCGAGCCCACCCTGCGCTACTTGGCCTTTGTCCCGAGCAAGGCTTACCCCAAAGCACGTGATGCTTTCACATCTGTGGTCTATGCGCACTGGGATGATCTTGAGGAATCTGGCCCAAAAACACGGCCAAGGGATGGCAACGAAGCGGCGCCTCTCGGGCTCAAGATCTTAGCCCTAGATGCGGACAACAAGGTGAATTGGCCAGACAGCCTGCTCAACCGCTTCCCGCCCGACACTGCTGAGTCCACGGCGATCATGGAGAAGCACACGGAGTTCACCGAGAAGTACCCCAACGTTCAGCCCGTGCCTGACAGTAGCGGCAACGGCAGTCCGGAAAAGCTAAAAGGCGCAGGCCGCAGCAGGGTTTCTGCCGGGCCGGACTTTACCATTGATGCTGCCCTTCAACCGCTGGACCCGTCCAGGACCATTGAGCTGGCCGGCGTTTCTGCAGATGAGTTCACTGCACCAAGGCTGGCTATGAAAAAACACACGGGCCCAAGCTTACTTCACTTAGTCATGTGTTTGGAGCTGCATGGATGAACCTGGTGAACCATCACACGAAACAACTTTTCCAAGCCCACTGGTTCTGATTGCCGAACATTGCACCTTACCCAATCAACTGCGCAACCAGGCTTGCGGTGAGCCCGGGCAAAGCCGGCCGACCTACTGTCGTGATCACTTCCGACTTTCAGCTATGGATTGGCAATGAGACCGCAAGTGAGATGTCAGTTGGCCCAATTGCCCTCTTGGGTTTCAACACTGGGGACTTTGAAGAGCGAGTCGTGGTAGGTGCCTTGGCAGCGAATTTACCCCTACGAATTGAGTTTGACATTTGGGGCTTCAACATTAGCGTCCACGCAACAAACAACAATCAATCATCATCATTTGATTGCAAACCCCAAACTCGCTGGTTGACAGGTGATGGCACTGGCGAGGCTGACAAGAAAAGCATCCCATGGAGGTTGGTGGATGACAAAGTCCTGGTCAGCTTGAGCGGGGAACTTCTGCCCCTTTGCAAGGTGATGCACCGGATGGCTAGTGTGGACGGCGTGATGGACCCTCAGATTCCCGACCACTCTTACACCCCAAAAATGCGACCAGCATCTTGTCTAAAGTTTCCCGTAAACCAATTTGCGATTGCTTCTCCCAGCCTGGATCCCAGGCAGTGGACTCCAATGAGCCGGTGCCTGCGCCATTTCGCTATAACCTTCAACCAGCCGCAGGTGGTAAGACCAACTGCTTCAAGCCGAATCCTTTGGATGGGGCAGACATGGTGAATCTCAAGTGGCAGGCAGCCGGAGCTTGCTTCAAGAACAACTTCAACAAGGTTTGTCGCAACTCCCGGGCTGCGATTGTGTGGGATGCTTCTTGGCTAGTAGTGATTTTTGGTTTTGGGCGACACCACAGAAATTAACTGGTATTCTTCATGTGTTGATTCTCGGCTGCCAGGTTACAATGGAAAGGTCCGTGCCGCCCAAGATTTTGCCTGTGAAACCAAAGCTTTGGCTGACAGCCAACGTTGCGCTGTCTCCAGGTATGTTTTACCAGCTGACCGCTTGCGCCTAACAATGGCCCGCGGTTGGCAACTAGTAGGGCCCGCAGTCCGCGGACTGCGGTGGGTACTTGTCAAACAAGTCAAGGGGCTTGTGAGCAACACGCATGGATGCCGGTTGAAAGTTGCCTTCAGCACCTTGCGTCCGACTGTGTGAATCTCAAAGCAAGCTTGATCCATGAGCATTGAACCTCAGCAGCCTTTTTGGTCCCTTTGGTCAATTTTGGAACATGCCAATCCTGAACCCTGTCACTGAACTTAGTGGCAGCGATAGCGATCCGGGGCAGGAGGCTGGAAATTGAAGGGTTTGCGCCAGCAAGGGTTCAGGAGCTCTGGTGTTTCTCAGCCCCACTCCAACTTAAAACTTTCGCAGGTACTAAAGAAGCCAGCGGCAGCAAAGCCAAGAAGGAAGCGCAAGGCAACAGAAGAGCCGCCAGCAGCCAAAAACCCAGAGAGCGCTGTGGAACCAAAAGCAGCACCCGAGCCAGCGGCCGCCAAAACACGCAGAAAGCGCAAAGCAACAGAGCCCCAACCAGAGCCGGAAAACGCTGTGGCACCAAACGCAAATCCGGCTAAAGCAAAAAGAAAGCCAAAGCCCCCAGAGAACACTGTGGACGTCACAGGAACCTCTGCAACTTCCCAGGAAGGCACCTCCACCAGAGGTCGCGGTCGTGGGCGAGGCCGCGGGCGAGCTCGTGGCCACGCACCTCAGCCAAAGAAAGCCCCAGCCCGGTCCAAGGCCACAAAGCGACCTGCTGTAGGCGCATGATGCCATTCCGCTTGTTTTGTTGGGGTTTTTGAGTGTTTTTTCTTTGGAAAATCATTTCACCTTTGAATAGGCGCTCTGGATGAGGGCAACCACAAGATCTCAGCGGTTTATTATTACAAGAACTCCCACCAATGGGCCTTCAAAGTGGATGGCAAAGAAGCTGTGAGAGTGACTTGGAAACATTCGCGCTTTTTCAGCCTATCCAGTGTTATTCGGAGGATTTGCTTTTTGCTTTGCAAGGTTGGTGGGCGGGCGTATGATGCAAGCAAAGAGAAGCTGAAAGAAGTGATCGTTGGCGGCTCAAACACTTGGCCAGGTGTCAGAAAAGGGCCAGTTCAATGTTTCACATGAGCCTTGTTATTCAGGACATTCTGCGTGAGAACCTTGAGAGCGGGAAGGAAACCGTGGAACAAGCGAAGAGAACAGGCGCCACTCGGCCAGCGAGTGATGCAAACACACACTCGCGTCCTACGCTTGTGTCTAGCCAAGGAATCATTGCTCGGCACTTTGCCGAAACATGACCGTGAGCGTGAGGCAGAGCCGCCCCTGTTTGGCCCTGAAAAGCCGCCAAGTGATTCTGAGGGACCTGAGCCATGTGAGGGGCACGAGGAGCATGGGGAGGCAGAGGGGGAATCCGAGGAAGAGCGCCCGTTAGATAGCGATGAGAACATCCATGACGTCAACAATGACGTTGACTAGATGTGAGCCTAGAGCTAGCTGCTCTCTCGCTCTGTCTTTTTCTCTCTTTTCACTGAGAGCCGGGCGGGTTGATGGAAAACTCGCCGCTGCTGCTGCGGCTGCTGCTGCTGCTGGTTGCACGCGCCAAGTGTGCGTAAGGGAACGGACATCCCCAAACAAGAAAGCGGAGGGGAACGGACAGCTGACAATAGGAAGAAATAGGGTATACCAAATCTCAATGGTGCACTAGTTGGCTTGAAATTGTTTTATATATAATGTATATAAGCCAATATCAACATAGAACCCAAACACCGCCACCCCCAAGGTCCCTCCTTCTCCCGACTCGGCTGATGGATCGGATGCGCCTCTCATGGGCCCACGAGAGCATGGCCAAGGCCTTGAGGTTCAAAGTGCGGTAGGACTCCTACGGATTGGTCGCTCCCCCCCATCCGCTCGCCCAGCCCGAGCCCCGACCACCCAGGGAAGGGAAGGAGGGGAAGGAGGGGAAGGAGGGGGGGGGGGGTATGGACACCCAAAAAGTCGGTTTGCAACCTCCTTCATAGAGGGTATTGGGTTCTTAAGGGCTTCTTGCTAACATATACTCTAGGTGCCCATGGCACGGATATGGGGGGGGGGGTGGCCTGACAACCAGATGAAAACCAAACATCGCCAAGATGTGGGTCCTTCTTTGGTAGAGTTGGTACCCCTTTTTTGGTCTTCTAAAGCCACGGGCCCGAGAACTGCTCTCTTGACCAGGGATTTGGTGAACCCAGAACCGTTTAACCGAGAGAGCTTCTCCCATGGAACCATTTCAACAGATGCAAAACCAGAGAGTTCAAATTAATGCAAAATGGCCTCACTCCAAAGGAAATGGAGGGCCCATTGGCAGGCCATGCTGCAGTTGTAGGGCTCGTCCTGACCATAGTTAAGTTTTGCAGTACTCTTCAGTGAGTGAGTTAGTTGTTGCATGCTTGCTCTGCTGAATGCTTAGTGGAGTTCTCGTGCACCGGCCAAGGACAAAATGGACACGCATCCTGATGGCTTTGCTTTAAACAATCCCGTCTGTCACACACACACAAGCAAAGCGCAACCGGATTCTCGCTGCGTCGGCTGAGTTGCAGAAACCATGTTGAAAGTCATTGTGTTGGTTGATGCTGGGGGCCGTTCATAAGTGTGACCTCAACCTTAAACAAACTACCTCAGCGGTCCTCAAAAAGCTTCATAGTCCGATTCGCCCAGCGAAGGGAATGACCTTTTGGCTTGAGTTCCCCACTAAACCCAAGAACCCCCCCCCAATTCAGCACGGGCTTGATTATTCCAGAGTTTACCGTTACAAGAGACCAACAGGATACTACTATTGTAAGCCACACCCACTTAGGATACCAGCCATTTTGCAATTGGGGAAACCTCCTTCCACCGGAACGGGTTCAACCAGAGTCCCAATCCTTCACTGGTAGCTCCACCACGTCGCCCTGGTCACGGTCCTGCAACACGTGCGACCTGAGGTCGGTTCGAGAATGAAGGGGCCGAAACGAGGAATATGTTTGCTAACATCATGTATCTTTAAAATATTCAGAGTACCTTCCCAGAAAAACCATCACGGAACCTGCTTGGGTGTTCAACTGTTCCTTTTAAGGTGGACCCCTGTGCAGGTTCCATAATTGTGTTTGAGAGACTATAGGTATATTTTACTTCCATTGCTACACTTTGTTCATTTGGGAGATGTGTGTGTGTGTGCGAGGATCCAACGTTTTACGGTATTTTCCCATCCGAAACCCTTGGTTTCCCTTTGAGCAAGGCGTGGGCACCCTGGCTCCCAGTCAAATCTGGGCATGGAGACTTTTCAGAATTCCAAATGACATCTTTTGTGCGTCTTGCTCATTCCCTATTGCAAAGGATCCCCGCGGGGCCCCCCAATCTCGGCGTTTGCTATCCTGTACACGCGAAATGGGGCGTGCAGTGACTTGGTCAGACTCAAGCTCAACTCTGAGGTACCTTCGAACATTTCGCCTGCCCTTCTTTCTCCAAATGGGGAAACCCTAAAATCCTCCTGCTTTTCCTCAAGAACAAACCAAACAGGGCCGAAGCCCACATTAAGAAATCCCATGTGACAAATGAGTGTGTCTTCTTTTTTTGGGTACTACCTCTTTTTTTTGTGGCTTGGAAGGGAAACCACAGGGAAAGCCACCCAATTTGGGGAGGCCACAAAAAAGAAACAAATGGAGACCGAGAGGCTCGTTGGCAGCTTGACCCACGAAGAACCGCTGCACCACAGCGGGGGCCTCGTTTTTGCATACTGTGGATGGACGAAATCCATTGGTGGATTTGAACCCCTGGTGGTTGTAGAGGGTAGATGGGAACCCCTCCTAAACCACCAAACAACCCAAACCACCAACGAAGAGGAAGCTGATTGATGGTTGTGAAATCCATTTCGCACCACTTTCAAATCATGGTTTAACCCATTGTTGGTATTGTCAGGTCCATCATTCCTTTATCATTCCAGCTGAGGTCGCAACCATCCACAGTAGGCTTTAAGGGGCACCGTGATTTGGGGGTCCAATCATAAGGGCTGGGAGTCCCAAACCACCCTCAACGGGAGGAAAATGGTGGTACACCGCCATATAGGCAACATGTAAAGCGTATATAGCCAATTTCTGTCTGTTTGGCGGGTAGTGGCTTAGGGCTTAGGGGGCAGTGACCAACTTTCTGAGGCCCGTATGGTCCTGTCTTTTATGATGCCTGAATGGATTGGCCAGAGAAAGGCCTAAGTCCCGCCCCAAAAATCTACAGAGTCCAGTAACTCAGCGAGTGAGTTGTATAAAGGGGGCCAGGGGTGGGACTTGGACCAAACACGGGTGGGTTTTCCTACTCCAGCATAGCTCCGAGTTTGGCAACTCGCGCTTTTAGGCAGCCCACACATAGTTCCCACAAGTTCTCAGGAAGGCATCGGGAATCAAACGGGCGTGCCTTCTTTTCACAGACTCCTCCGCCCAAGAAAAAACACGGCAGCTTTCCTGTTGCTTTGTTGGCCTTGAAGACCACCCAAAAAAAGGGGTACCAACTCCAAAACAAAAAAACGACGAGCCAGAAAGCCAACCCGCGTCAGCGGATTTTTGTGGATCGGCGCCTTCCCTGCCAGGCCCTTGCCCCAGGTCTCTCGCACCACCTGCCGTTGGAATTCGGCAGGTGGTGCGCTATGAGGTCGATAGGCCCAAACAACTGGTTGGTGGTTTGGGGCAGCTTGGAAAGTGTACAATTTGCTTTGTGAGGTACACCTGTGTTGGTTTTAAAGGAAAACCAAAAAGAACACCACCAGTTTGTTTCTTTGGGGGTCTCCCATCCCGCTTCGGGACTCCTTTTTTAGCGAAATCCGCAAGTCTCACGGTCACCATTCAGAAGCCCAAGGCAATGCTTCGATTCCCCAAAGGATAATTACCAACAAACGTGATGGTTCACCAATCATGGAGCTCGCTGTTGAAACCGCGGCATGTTTGCATTGTTTTTTGCAGGTGCCTCCTGTTGTTTTTCTTGGGCGGGAGGAGGGGGGGGTACAGCGAAACATTGTTCGAGGGTGCTTTTTTTTGTGGAGGGGGGCGTTTTTGTTTTCTGTGAAACCCAGACGGCAATCAAACAAAATTCGCGCACACACACACACACACACACACACACATTTGTGCAAAACCATTTTGCTATGAAGTGCTTCTCGAACGGAGCCGCTTGTCTGGAAGCTGAGACACGTTCCGGTTCCCATGCTTTGGGTGTTGTTCCTTTGGTTTTGCATGTTTTTCCTAGCCCCCAAAAAGGGACCCTCGAAAAAGACATCGCCCCATGGGCCCCATATTGTCTGTGGAAAATGACTCACAAAGGCTCTTCCTCACCTCTCAAGCCGTTTTGTCCGACAGAAACGCGGAGAGGTCCAGACACAGCGTCTGTGCATCTGGCGGACCTATGTACAAACCCCTTGATGTTCTGTACCACTTGAACGTCAAGGGCTCCACACCCTTGCATTCAAGATTTGAAGCGCCTGGTTCCCCACCTGGCGATCGGAAGATCGATGCTCACTTCGCCCAGTTGCTGCGAACCCGACCCATGATGTAGTCTCCAGCGGTCACCGTCTCTGCAGAGCACTGAATTGGTACATGCTTGTCCGCCTGGGCGAGCCAAAGACCCGTCCAAACATGTTTACCTGTCGAAACACCTTTAAGTTTGCCATTTGCATTTTTGCCAGAGGCACCTTTTTGCAAATTCACCACTTTTCACCGAACCCCGGCACCTGGTTCTATGTCAATCCTCATTTTGCACCGAGACCACTTTGCACCGAGAAGAGGTCCCCTTTTGGCTAAAGTCTGAAGGCACACTTTTGAGTGAAGAAGGCAACCCCTGCTTCAACTAGCGCAACTCCCAGAAAACGGGCTCCCAATCAACTGGCAGAGAACAGCTCCGCGTGAATTGTTGCGGTTTGAGTCCCCCCTCGAAGGGCCCATCCCAGCGAGGTTGCAACAGCGTGTCCCCGGGTCCTGGGGTCCATGTTAGGGTCGTTCATTCGATGCCGGGACCTGTGCGTTCCCAAGCATCGAAGGGCGCCATGGGCACAACCCAAAACCTAAACTTTGTCCATGTGCTTTCTGTTCAGCCGGCCAAAAGCCTCACTGGCCTCATGCCAGTAACAAGCTGTCTCACAGCCTGTGAAATGATTAATCCACCCCCCCCACACCTTTCATGACATATTTTAGTCTCAGTCTATAAAACCCTTCCCAATTCGATCCTGCATGAACAAGACCATGGAGTACCTCGCTTTGGGCTCCTCGCACTCCTCCGGTGATGGCAAACGCACCCGGTGCAGGTTGGACAAGACCCGGCCATCCGACCAGCGCCCCAACATGTCCCCCACGTTCACCGCGATGCCCCCAGGCACCGGGTCCACCTATCGGCAAGAGACCGCCGAGCATCGTGTGGAACCCATGCCGAAGCCACAGGAAACCCAAGCCGAACCTTTGGCCCGAGATGCTCCCAAATCTGCGTTTGGCGCTGACAAGGGATTGGCCAAACAGGGGACACTCACTGATCGAAAGATGATGTTGGAAACCACAGATTGCAGAAACCTGGAAAATATCGGGTTCCTCCAACTCAGTTATCCAAGACTATCCAAAGAACCTGGAAATAAAAGTTCAACCTTTTGGGGCCATGACTAAAAATGGACCAACCAGGGAAAAACCAAAAGATCAAAAGGTCAGCTTTGGACACCTCCAAATGGTTATGGGTGAAAATTAAACCACACGGATATGCAGGTTTTAGTGGTCACCAAGGTCGATTCGCTTTGGTCAACCGAGCCAAAAACAGGCTTCCTCCACCAGAAAAAGGCGAGCTGAGACCCGCCTTGAGCCACGGAGAGTCTTTGGCCGCCTTTGGGTTGGGCGCACACTCCAGGCCCTAGCAGGGGGTCAAACATGTTGGCACCTGAAAACATACATACATACATACATACATACATACATACATACATACATACATACATACATACATACATACATACATACATACATTACATACATACATACATACATACATTACATTACATTACATTACATTACATTACATTACATTACATTACATTACATTACATTACATTACATTACATTACATTACATTACATTACATTACATACATACATACATACATAACATTACATTACATACATACATACATTACATACATACATACATACATACATACATACATACATACATACATACATACATACATACATACATTCATTACATTACATTACATTACATTACATTACATACATACATACATACATACATACATACATACATACATACATACATACATACATACATACATACATACATTACATCATACATACATACATACATACATACATACATACATACATACATACATACATACATACATACATACATACATACATACATACATACATACATACATACATACATACATACATACATACATACATAACAAACATACATACATACATACATACATACATACATACATACATACATACATACATACATACATAACATTACATACATACATACATACATACATACATACATACATACATACATACATACATACATTACATACATACATACATACATACATACATACATACATACATACATACATACATACATACATAACATACATACATTACATACATACATACATACATACATACATTACATACATACATACATACATACATACATACATACATACATACATTACATACATACATACATACATACATACATACATACTTACATTACATACATACATACATACATACATACATACATACATACATACATACATACATTACATACAAACATACATACATACATACATACATACATACATACATACATACATACATACATACATACATACATACATTACATACATACATACATACATACATACATACATACATACATACATCACATACATACATACATACATACATACATACATACATACATACATACATACATACATAATTACATACATACATACATACATACATACATACATACATTGGAATGGCGATAATCATAACCAAGGACTAACCCAAATCCACTCTCAACTTCACCCGTGTCCGACTCCTTCTGGCACAAACTAAAGACCACAATTTCTTTACACCGCGAAGCGGCTCGTTGTTTTTCACAGGCACGCACATCATTCACCGGGCGCATGGGCTTGAGCCATAGGCACGCCACTCCAACTTCCTCAAGGTGGACATGTCAACTCGCAAGACATGTCCACTCATGCAACCTCAAGCAAAAATAGCTCACTTACCAAAGCCTAATGCCTATGGCTGCAATGACAAAATCATGCTCGAGAATGCCAAGATCTGCAGTCGCCCCCAGTTGCAGCCTCCAGCCGCGGCGGGGAATGCAACTCCAGAGCATTCTCATCCTTAATTGTGGGAACAGCCCCATCCTTCAAATTGCGGGGGCTCCCTATCCTATTCCACTGGGCAGTGGCCAATTCCTTATACCTTTCATCCGGCCCTGGACCTGGGCTCAGTACTGCTTCGGCTCGGCTCATCCGATCTTTCCAGCCTGGAAAGTTGCAGTCGCAGCTTCTCATTCTCAGTCTCCAGCGCCTTGTCTAGCAAGTGAACCAGCTTGCCGCTCCCATCGACGGCTAGCTTAATCCAGTTCACAAACTTCTCATTCTGCTTCTGGCTGAAGAAGACCTGATTCTGCATGGTGCCCAGCAAGGCCAAATAGTTACTGAAGAAGGCAGAATCCGAGTTGTCATACTTCTCCGCGTTGTATGCAGTGTGAATCTTATCCACGGTCTGGAAGACCTTGAGCGCCAAAGCGCTATCCACAGCGCCTCGCCCGGAAAGATTGAACACAGCCGCGTTAAGCCTGGAAAGGTGGTCAGATCGCAACGATCCCGGGGGGTTCGATTCCTTACGAATGTCGTTGAGCACCTGTTGCAAATACAACACAGCTCCCTCCGAAGTTGCCAACGGAGAAATCGTCCCTGACCAAACCTGAACTCTGCCCGCGAGCGTCATCCCGCTCCGCACTGGCCACTCTCGGTTGCTTATTCCTACTCCCGGTACCCAGCTCCTTAGCCTTACTCACTAGGCCTTGAAGGCAACCGACTTCGACATATTCACTCCTAGATGGAGCCGAACGCGACCTTAGCGAAAATCCCGGACTGGTCACTTCATCAAGAATGGGGACCGCCTGGAGGGTTTCTCCGGCGCCCCCAGCCCGATCCTCGCCTATCGTCGACGCCACACCGCCGGTCAGCGGCTGGTCGGCCCATCGCTGCCTGGCCACGATAATGTGCTGGCATTCCGTACCCAGGTCAATGGACGCTTTGCAGGTACACTTCATAACATTCCGTCCCAAGACCAACTCCTCTGTCACAAAGACATGACCCGTCCTTGTCATGAATTTCTTGGTCCTCTGGCCTTCCCCAAGCATATTGCCGTGAAGTCGGTGCATGGCTTTGTTCCTACACTTGCGGGATACTGTCCAACCACACCACGTCATGAAAACAACAAACATGCTCATCAAGGTAGCCCGCAGGAACAGCCCCATAGTCTCCACAAGAGCAACTCCCTGCGAACCCATTTTGTCGACTAAGAGG